ACCGCTCTCTCCAGAACATGGGATGATAGTGTTGAAGGCAGTTGAGAGAGTGAGGGTGCCCTGGGTTTGTAAAGGGTCCTTCAGAAATTGAATGAGATTTCTCTGTTGTCTTAAACGCTTTTAAACTCCCAAATACAGAGGCATTAATGAGAAACATGAAGTTATTAGAATCATTTATCTTTTTCTTTGAAGCTTACACTGGCATTTTGTGTAATTTATGACATTTCCTCCTTTTTATCATGAACTTCTTCAGATGAAGGGAAAAACAGCTGTTTCCCCTCAGAGTGTCTGAAAGAAAAGAAAGAAAAAAAAGATGCTGTTTGTTTTTTGTCCAACTCGCTGATTTTGCTGATGACATGCCACAGAATCAGCGGCGCCTTGGGAGTAATTAGACAGCATGTGGGGTTTAAACCCTTGTGGAAATGTGTCTGTCATCTTACTGTTGTGCCTCAGATGTCCTGTACTGCTCAGTTACCCATCCAGCAACTCGTGTGGCTTGTTAATTGTGTGTACTTTGAATCTGTAACTTCTGGCAAGATGGAGAAAGGGAGTGGGAGTGCATTTTGTATGTGGAGCCCCGTTTTTCAGGGGGCTAGTCTTCTGGGGCAGGAAAAAGCTGCTAGCTTACAGACTCATTGGGTGAAGAACTTTTTTCTTAGTTGCTTGTTCTCTTCATCTGTAAAACGAGTACAGTAATGCCTTCCCAGAATGGGATTGTGGGAAGAGACAAAAGCCTATTAGGAGCTCAGAAATTACAGTGATGGGAGAACAGAAGTGCACTGGGGTAAATAAATGTGTAATTGTTGAGTTACATTGGGAAAACGTCCAGGTTGGACAGTCTTCAGAAGATAGGCTGCCTGGATCAGTGTTTTGTATATATAGGTAACATAATGAGCTGCACGCTTCCAAAAACTTGCACTCTTGCTTTGTGAGATGAGTTGGAGGTTGTTGGAAGCGCTGCCCTTTTACATGCTGTATCTACTGATCTGTTTTGTTACTTTGGCTGGTAGGAAGTGAGTTACTACACAAGATTTTCCTCTAAGTCTTGCACAGTTTTTTGCAGGACTTCAGAGTTCCAAACAATTTTGCCAGTGTCAAGATGCCAGGCTATGGTGATTTCTGAAGACATCAGTAAATAATTTAATTGTACATGCCCCTTCCCAATTGGAGCTCAAAGACAGTTGATTCCCCAGCAACAAATGCTGTCAGCCTCAGGATCTCCAGTAAAAAAAGTGACATAATTTTCTTCCTCTTTCTGTAGCCTGCATTCCTAGAAGTTGAACCCCCTGTCTTTCTCCTTTGCCAAAGAAACCCAAGTGGATCGCCTTGAGGACGCAGGAGAAGGGGGCACAGCCTACTGCTGGAGGGCTTTGAAGACAGTAAATTCTTCAGCAGATTTCAATTTAACCCTCTTTTATTACTTTTCTTTTTTATAATTTAAGTCCATTTCATGAAGCAGTTTGCATGTCCTTGAATGGAATCTCGTTACCATGAAAGCTTTTTTAGCATTGATTTCATAACAGTCTTAATTTAATAGCGCCGTCATTACTGAGAAGCCCTGCGAGTGAGGCCCTAGCTTTCCAGGTCACTGACCTTTTAATTACAAACCTTGTTCTGATGGCCAGGTTATCGACTGGACAGCTCCCAACTCCTGCCCCCAGCACGAAAATGAAAATAACTGCCTTTCCTCCCCCACTTCCAGAAAAGGGAGGAAAGGAAAAGTAACCTCTTGTGTTTCCAAAATTAATTTTCTCCTTCAGCTTTACTTTGTAATTAATTCTTTAACATGTCTCAGAGAAGCTCGAGACGTTTTTACAAAGCTTTTCCTTGAGAAGAAAATACAATGCAAGCCAATAGAGACCAGTGACAACTCATACAAAAAAAATATAGTTAGTAACCCGTGCTGTGAAATTACCTATTTGGGCCACGTTGCAACGGAACTCCAAACCTTACGCTTTTCTAGAAATGACTGTGTTTGATACAAGAATGCGTGGTTAGGCTGTGAGTGTAGACTGTTCAAAGAATGCTGGATGACTTCCCTTCAAACTTGATGACAGGATATG